GGAAAAATTAATTTCCTAGGGAGCAGCAGGCAGTGAGACCCATTGTGTTACTGTCCCCACCTTGGGAGCAACAGCTCTTTTCCTCTTCAGCACTAGAGCTGCAAGTATCTTGTTAGCATCACGTGAAATTAACAAGTCCCTTCCAGCCTGGCAGAGGTGAAGCTGAAAAATTACCCAGTGGTGTGGGTGGGCAAGAATGGGGAGGAGCAGGGCAGAAGGGGAGAGGGGATAAGCCCCAACCCCACACCCTGGCTGGAGCGGAGCAGGGTAAGCCCCGAGGGGATGGGTCTGGTTGCAAAGTGGGTGAGTGGACAATGAGGACCCACCTGTGGCTAAACTCCTGTTCCCAACACAGAATTTTTCTTTAAAATTAATCCTGTGGATAAATTCTCTCACACACACTTCACAGGAAGGGATTTCCATTTTCTGCTCAGCAGAATACAACAGCTTTGATTGTATCAATATTTCACTGTGCTCTCCAATGACTATTGATTACACTTAATACCCATTTCACTGAACCATCTGTAGCAAATTCTATTTGGAACAGTAATATGCATTGAATAAACTTTTTTTAGTTATAAAAAACAAAGATTCTGACTATTAAATGAATAACTGGGATCTTTCAGGTACCCCAAAAGGAAGATTTGGATATAGCATGAAACACTGAAACTTATGATCAATTTTTAATTAAAATATCAACCAAAAAAACCTTCATATCAAAACAGTATGTGTTTTTCTTAAAATAAGGAAGTTGTATGAGAATCAGGGTCTTTTCCACCTAACTCCAGCTCCCCGTCCCCCCCCAAAATATGTACCAGTTCCGACTTACATACAAATTCAATTTAAGAACAAACCTACAGTCCCTATCTTGTACGTAACCCAGGGACTGCCTGTATTGAAGTATTATATGTGAAGTAGTATTTTCTGTAATTAGGTTTATATTTACTGCCTTTTCATCTTGAGTGTCCTTATGTTCTTGTACTCCGTGACAATATCAAAAGAAATGACAAAGACCATGAATGTAACTAAAAAAAGAAGCTTTAGCAAACTGAAGTTAATGAACTTAGTTCATATGAAACTGAATATGTAAATTAAATGAAACCCAATATACATTGCTTCAACAAATAAAGCAAACAACCAAAGTATCAAACAAGTAAGTGCAGCTTTTTTTTGAAGATTTTTTTTTTAATTTAGTGGTGCTTAAACTGTGATCTACAAAGTTGCTTCAGTCTAGCTTATGCTTCCCAACTGCTGTAGTGCAGTCCATACCTATTTGGATTTTCTAGATGACTAGATGCTCTAAAAAGAAAACTTTTTGCATCTGCTTCATAGCTGCCTGGGCTGGATATTTCCTTTGGTATAACATTTTGGATGGCACTTGAACTGGAATAATAGTAAATATATAGAACAGAACCAAAGCTCAAAGTGATTTGGAGATGCTAGCCCAGGCAACAAGGGGATATTTGATACTAATAAATATACAGTTAGTAAGGGGAAAAAACTGAAAAGCTTCTCAAAGAAATGTGATCACATAGCCACACCCATCAAACATACCTCTTTTCATTCAATATTAACAAAGTGCAACTGTTACGCTAGGGAAGGTGCAGAATCAAAATTGGGAGGTTGAGAATGGAAATGCCTAGTACAGGATTTGTATTTTAAAAAGTGAGTCACACTACAATTCCTTTTGAAAAGCCCTGCCAGATCTTGTCAAAAGTAAACCAAATGTAATATGAACAATGTAAAATAAAAGTAGCTTCTTCTTCAACCTCACAAATCAAGAAGCCAGAAATCATAAAGAATATATGTTGGAGTCATACTTACTTTATTTGCATTGGAAGAGATCGTATTTTCCATTAATCCTTCTAGATAACTGCTGACACTGACACCTTTTACAGAGATTATTGCTTCTTGAGTCAAAATGGTTCTGAGGCAAAAAAACAAATATATTTTTGTTTATTTTTTCACATTATAAAAACTAGGAGAGATGTTATTTAAGAAAATTGCTTTTTTAGCTCTCTCCAAATACTGTTTTCCCAAATCAACCTACCTGGAAAAATTGTTTCAATATTTTGCTTCTGGAATGCTGGAACAGAAAAGCACATATGCATTCCTCCCATAGCTAATTGTTTTGAAATTGACTGCGTTACTGTGATGGAGGGCATGTAGGATTCTCTGTTCCAGCATTCCAGAAACAAGATACAGTTGTGTGTGTGTAGAACTAATGTCCCTTACTATTTCTTGAATCTTTTAAATCTCCATGGTAAAAGGGAAGGTCAGCATGGACCTGCAGATGGAATACATTCAAGGAATATTTGTTACCTCTCCTTTTCCTTTGTGACATTGCCAGGGCATATTTCCAGCAACTATCCTGGCTGTGGAATATTACTAGCCACAAAAAGACAAACACAACTCTCCCCAAAAGAGCAGCTAATCTGATCTACAATTAATACTTTAGTTATTCTAAAACGGGGGGTCAGCAACCTGTGGCTCCTGAGCCAAATATGGCTCTCTCAGCTAAAGCTCAGACCCCCTCGATCCTCCTGCAGCATAGAGTTCACGCTAGTGCTCCAGTCTTGTGGCCCCCAGAAAAATTGGCATGCCAGTGCCAGCTTCCTGCAAGATGGGGGGGGGAGGGGGGGGGGGAAGATAAGAAAGTCTTGCCACTGGTTCCATCTTTCAGGGAAGCAGAGCCAGAAATGACTCCACCCACTGCCTCTTCCCCGGCTGGGGGGACAGCAGCACAAGGATGCGCTTCCTGGAGGCTTTTCTTAACGCTCCCATTGGCTGGAATCTGGCCAATGGGAGCAGCAGGAAGCCATGCCTGGAAGCAATGTGAAAGCAAGTAAGTAGGTCTCCCTCCCCAAGCTAAGAGCCCCACAACCCCAACCCGCTCATTCAACACTCTGCCAAGACCCCACCACTCTCAGCCGCCTCACTCAGACCCCCACAGTAGACACCCCACACCTCTCTCATGTACCACCTCCACTGAGATCCTGCACACCCATCCTGCTCCTGCACTATCCCGGTTGGCCCCACACCCTACCACCAGCATGCTCCTGCACCCTACCTCCTACCTAGACCTCACACTTTCACCCCTTCCTACACTCCCATCCCTTTCCCACTCACTGTCAGCCCTGTCCCACACTGAACCCCTCATTTTTGGTCCTACCTCAGAGTGTAGGCAGGGCCCACAAAATCTACTAACCCTCAAACTCCAGAAGAGTTAATCTGACCTGAGGCCTTGAACCTCAGTCCTCCCTGACCTCCACCCCTGAAACCATGGGGCTGGAGCACCAGGGGAGTGATGTTTCAGTTGGTGACCACCTGAATGAGGGTTGGGGTTTTTTGGAGGTGGCTTTTTTTTTTTTTTTTTAAATATAAACTTCTCACTTGTGTGGTCCCAGACTGATTTTTCTGTGGGTCAGTGGCCCCTGCCTAAAAAAGGTTACTCACCCTGCCATAAATAAAGATGAAACCTTTTATGTTGAACATAATATTTTACTTTATTTAAAATGCAGCATGGACAACAATGCCCCAATCGGGTCCAGTCCCAATCTGGTTGCAGCATGCAATCCAGGAACAGGCCCCGCAGTCCAGTCCCCATCTGGCTGCAGGAAGGGCTGGTGGCACCCCTTCCTCCGCCCCACTGTTGCACAGGTAGGAGGGGAGGCCATGATCCTGCTGCGGTGATATTGGGCCGGCCCCTTGTTCAGCTACTGCTGCCTGCGTGCAGCATCCCAGCCCTAGCCAGGTAAGATAATCTGGTCCCGGGGCCCTCCACATATTCTATTTCACACCCCCAGTACCTTGCCCTGCCTCCTGCACCTCCCACACAACCCAACTCCCTGCCCTGAGCTCTTTCTACACCCCAACACTGATTCCTGCACTCCCGTATCCACAAACTGCATCCCAGCAGCAGCAGATGTCACATTAAATAAAGCCTGCGTACAATGTTTTATAATCATGTCAATCAATATTGAGTTGTATATTTTTAGATATGCAAATGGGCATTCTTATACAGATCTTTATTGACCACTTGTTCTGAATTTGATGTAGTTTGGTTCTTTGGTTTGAAAAGGTTGCCAACCCCTGTTCTAAAAGAAATCCAGATACAAACATGTTTTGTACACTCAGGCTGAAGGAAAGAGCAGAGCCCCATGACATTTATTTTTGTAAATAACTTTTCATGTTATTTTCCTGCAATTCTATGTTATTTAATTTTTATCCACTTACTATCACAGAAAACATTTGAGAATACACTGGAAGACAAATGTATGTTGTTTGGACAAATGTATGTTGCTATGAGTAAAGAGATAGGTCTTGCTTTGGGGGGGGACAGAAGGGAGGTCAGAGAGCAAGCCTGCCCTGCGCTCACCCAGCAGTGGCATCATGACAACAGAGGGGCAAGCCAGGCCAAAACTGAAATGGCACTGAGAAACATGAACAAGGTAACACTCCAGAATGAAGAACTAGGCCTTGCCCCATGGGAGAGAAACCATAGCTATAGGGTGAGTTTAATTCATATGAGGTTTTTAGTTTTACTTCATACTAGCATTACCAGTCCTGTTGTAACTGTAGATGTATACTCAGGTTGGCCTGGTATGCTCCTGCCTGTCCCAGGGCCTATGCTCCAGCCTGACCCAGAACTCTTACTGGGTTCTTTGGCCTTGTATATGCTATTCTTATATTTCTCTCTCTGTGTTCCCTCTGTCTCCCAGTCTTCAACTTACTCAGCATTTTTTCTCTTTCTGTAGTTCTCATCCTATTCTGCCTTCGCTCTGCCATGACATGGCTCACTCACTAACTCACTGGCAGCCACTTGCATTTTTCCCCTGCATGCCCCCATTGTGCTGCTTTTCAAGCCTCACATCCTGTTTTAGTGCGGGGAAAGGAGGAAACAGCCGCCACCAGTCCAGTCCATCCTACCCTATTTATTTATTTCTTCCCAGATACTTGTATAGACAAATTGGCTTATGCATTACCACAAAATTACAACTTCTAAATCACCTCCACTGAGGAAACCCATTGCCCAAATGCTCTGGGAATATGAAAGGAGTGTTGATCAGAGTACACCCTACATTTTGTAGGTCTCCAACTTGGCTCATAGCAACATACATTTGTCCAAACAACAAACATACATTTGTCTTCCAGTGTATTCTCAAATGTTTTCTGTGATGAGAGGTGTCCGTCACATCATCTCTTTTAAAATAGTTTAAATTTAGATTTGTAACAAAACACAGGGCTCTGGAAATTAGATGTAGTCGGAGACCAGGGATTTTTACACACTTCATTTTAAAATGCAGTGACAGAGGAGCATATGCTCCCTCCCTGGACAGCTGATTTGGAATGAACTCCACTGTCATTTATATTGAAATATTTTTACCCCGCCTTTCTATTTAAAATATTCAAGGTGGCTTACAAGAACAAACAAAAAAAATACAAATATATATAACAATTTAAAATATGAGAGTTTAAAATATGAGACCTCAGAGGGACAAAACCAGCTAAAAACATATAGAGAGGAGGAACACACACATACATTCTCAAACATTAATAAAAGCATGAGTAAAAAGGGTGGCTTTAGCCTGATACTGAAACAGCGCAAGGGTTGGCGCCATGCGAATATTCCGAGGAAGAGAATTCCACAGCCTGGGAGCAAAAGCTGAGAATGCCCTGTTCTGCATAGATGTTAATCTTATCTCCACAAGTGGGGGAACATGAAGCAAAGCCAAGGGCATGTAATCGCAGAGTGGGGATTTTCAAAAAACAATGCCATTAAGGAGAACATAAATGTATTTTAACTCTTCTGAAATAAATTTTACAACTTGTATATCAAACCTGTTTCCCTCCAAAATACATAAGGGAAATTTAAGAAAAACACAGAAACCATACTTAATTGCAAGTTTGAAGACAAATATAAATGTGCTTACTTTTCTGGCTCTTGAGGATGTGGTTTATAAATAAGCCTTTCATCTACTGACACCAGATTTGTAAATGAAATCTATGGAAGAATAAGAGTTATCATTAGCACATATATAAAAAAATCATTAAGATGATGAAATAAATACAACCAGAGCAACTTAATACTAAAATATCTGATTTTAAACACCATCAATTCAATGTGACATTCTAATGTGAGGTTTTGATCTGCCCCATTGTCAGCAGTCCCTGTTGGAACAGGTTTCAGACCCAGCAAGGTCTCTGTGTAGCCAACCAGTATCACTGGGGCTTTCGTGATAGCCCTTTGCGCATCTTCAGGACAACATGTATGATGATGTACACTGTACATTAATATATGCTGACTAGGTTCAGTAGTGGTATAGAATTGCATCACATCAA